ATATTAAAAGAACTGTATTTCATATAAGATTTAATGCACAAGATCTGTTTGTATCTTGAGCGTATCTCCTTTGCACAAAATTTCCTTCTTTCCTTTGATTCAGTAAATTCCATCAGTTTCCCATTTCTGCAATGTGCCAAATCTAAATGGCCATAATGTTAAAGAATTCAACCAATTCTTTATTTTCCAGCAATTAAAATCTTTCCTTCTATATCTATATCTGCCTTCTATGACAGTTGATTTTCTTTTAGATTTTCATTAGATTTTACTGCATTTTTAAACGATTGTACAATATCTGTGGAGTTTCATAGTCAGATCTCTGACAAATACAAACAAACAATAAAAACAGTTCTAAAATATCCCATATTATTTTTCCTTTTTTCATGAATAGCTTTATTATTGGGTCAGATAGAAGCATATGACAGATCATTAAATTGTTTATATCCTTTTCCTTCCAAAAAAATAGCAACCTTGTGGGGAAATGCCATATATGCCAAAAATCAACATTTTTTTGTGTACATCTTCAGTATCGTCTCAGTCTATATTATTTCAATATGTCAATATTGGGTCTATTAGTACAGTATAATGACTTCTATATAATGACTATTTCTGAGTATCTTGTAAAGATGAATTATTACAATTCTCTCTTTTCACTGAATTGCATATTGTTTCCTTAAATTTTATTATTTCTTTCCATAAACTTCCTCTATTAGTATTTGCCTTACACAGCATGATTTTTGTAACTATTGAATCCAAAAGGGTACACACTTTCCTAACTGAGAACTGTTCTCTGTATTTCAAACTTTTCTCATGGATAAGGTGTGTCCATAACTTCAGCTGAGGACAAGCTGTAGGGAGTAGGAAGGACAAAGGAAGCTTCAGGTTTTATAGGCTTAAGATCTATTAACCAGAATGGAAGGGGAAAAGAATGAGCTGCAGCAGGTGAATTAACCACAGCACAGCACAAACTTACACATGTCTGCTCCGTAGTAATCTGTGGTGTTCAATAGTCGCTAGTAGCTGTATTTAGACTATTTATAAATAGCTAGGAGAAAGTCCTAGTGTGTCAACATGCATAGTATTGCACTAGTGGCTAATGGGGCCATAGTGTCTTTAGCCTTTGGGTGGCTGGTGGTGGTCAGGGAGGTATTGAATTCTATTGATTGTAGACGAGCTACTGCCAGTTGAAGGGGAAGCCAGCAATTCTGGCAGTTCTACACAAACAATCTTCTATTTGTGATCACATGCTCAATATAGCATTGCACACTAGAAGTGTGCAACACTGGGAAACTTTGAGAGGAATGGACTTCGGCATATTTTCAACTGGACAGGCAAAAACCAGGCAGGGTTTTGATAGTTGTTTGGGCAAGGTTGCCTTTCAAGAAATTGCTGGAGTATTTTTGCAAATTTGAAGCTGAGCACTGCATATCCCTAGCACAAAGCATGATTTGCACAGATTGCGGCTGACTTTTTAGGTTTGTTCTTGTTGTAGTATAACATTAGAAGTTTGGAAGCATCTGCCTCTCACTCCAGTACACACATTCCGCTTTGAATTTTCTGACAGTTCAGAATTGTTCAAAATTCAGGCCTCTGCTGCAAAGTTTGTGCAAATTTGGGCAAATTGCAGAGTGGAAGCTGGGAATTTCCCTGCTTTTTAAAAATAGTTACACAAATTGTGGCCCATTTTAAAAATGGAAATACATGCTGGTTCAACTTGTATCAGATAAGATTGGTGCCAGCAGAGATTTGATGGAACAAACTCCATGGGCCTAAGTCAGGAGGACTCCTTGGATTTTCACACACATACCATCAGATTCCTCTCACATTTGTATCTTACACCTCATACAAATTAAATCTAGGATTGGGTTGCCCTGCAAATGGGGCCGTTTGATCTCCTCAAGCCTGTTTTATGTTAAGGGTTCTGTGTGTTCCCCAGTTCTGTGCAAGAACCAAAAGTGGTCTTCAATGCAGAATTTTGTTGTCAGAGTCTCATCCTTTGTTTAAGAGTTTAGTTCTCACAACTTGCAAGGATATGCTAAAAGGATGTGGGTGAAATCTAGGAGCAGCTTGCACAATGTTTTATTTTAGTTCATATTGCCTGCTTGATGTGACCATAATCCTTTCCTTGCAAGCACTAAAATAAATGAATAAATAGGAATGTTGAGTTCAACACTTGGCTAAAAGAACTATGAATGTGGGCAGCTGATAGGAGGGTGGTTTCATTGTTGTGGTTACAATTTCTAGCTTGCATCTGGACTCAGCTGCTGCCAGGGTCTTTGGTGCTAGGGAGTGAGAGGTGAACAGCAGAAAGGGTGAATTCACGGGCGCTGCACAGGCTTGAGAGAAGTGGGACTTGACTGTCTGAGGATGAGCTTGCAACTGCAAGCTATTCTTGGCTCCTACCTGCTCGCTGCTGCTAATTTCATGCCCTGTGATCCAGGTAACGCTCTAGTGCCTTGCTCTGTCACCCGGGGCTCAAACCGCTTTTTTAGCCCAGCAGGAGCCCAGCTGCTTCTGCTGCTGACTTTAAGCTGAATAAAAAGCTGCTTTGCAAAAGCATCTTGGCAGCACGGGACAGATGTTTTGCTAAGGCCAATGGAGTTTTCAGTTTTGTTTTGGTGTTGCTATTTGGAGAAGACAAATATATGCAGATTGAAGCATCCAGCATTGTCACCTGTGTACAGAGATCATTATATTGTGCTAATCGAGCTGTAACTAGAGAGAGAGGAAACTGCCTTCAGTAGAGTAAGGCCCTGAGTCCACCTAGCTCAATATTGTTGCCATCAACATGGGTCAGATCAGATCAAAACACATGCTATACACCATCAGTGTCTTCTTATGAAGTTCACTTTTCATTGATTTGGAATACTTGTTATTGAATGCTTAATGGGCTGAGATGGGAAGGGAGGGGCTTTTCCAGTTACTTTTGTACCCAGAAGCTCATACTTGATGATAAGCTATTACTGTGTTTCTGTACCTGTGTTTTTATATGTGAAATAAGGGAAGTTGCCCTCGAAGATGGTCCAGATACTTCAATTGGTTCAGAATAGAGCTGCCAGGATGTTAACAGGGACCGGCCGGTTTTCACATATAATACCGTCCCTCTACCGGTTACACTGGCTACCAATTGAAGTCCGGGCCCAATTTAAGGTGCTGGTTATGACGTATAAAGTGCTAAATGGCTTGACTCTGGGATACCTGAAGGAGCGCCTTCTTCCATATTTATTTATTTATAAAAGCTTTTGCGGGCCATCCTATTATACAAGATCTCAGGACGGCTTACAATGTTTAAAAGAACAATTAAAACAGCAATTTCAATAAATAATAGAACAGAACAAAACAAATCACAAAACAAACAGAGCGACTGAAGGTTAAAAGCTGTTAAATTTTAAAATACTGTTTAAATAAAAAGGTTTTGGCCTGTGCCAAAGAGTATAAACTTGGCGCCAGGCATACCTCTCTGGGAAGTACATCCCATAGCCTATGTGCCCTCCTGTCCCTTGGGATCTGAGGCAGAGGCCCTACTCCAGGAGCTGTCCTTGAAGGCGAGTAGGAGGGGGAGTACCTAGAAGAGGGCCTTCTCTGTGGTGGTGCCCTGACTTGGAATATGGTCCCCAGAGAGGTTTGCCTGGCATCGATGTTATGTTCTTTTTGGCATCGGGCAAAACCCTTTTTATTTTCCCATTATTTTAATGTTTAATTGATTTTAATTGGGGTTTTAGTATATCATGGTCAGATGCTGTGGGGCTGTTCTATTCTATTTATTTATTGTAAGTCATCCGAGACGTTATGTAGGGGACGGGATAGAAAATCTTTTAATAAATAAATAAGTTGGGGAGAATTAAGAAACAAGACCCAGAGAATGGGCTTGCTTTGCTGTGTTGCTGACTCACAAGTTACTTGCCCATAAAAGTGACGTAGCTTCATCCACATGTACCTTATGCTAGTAATTTCTGAAAAGAGAAGCAACGTGGCACCACCACACAGTCTATGAGAGCTCTCTTGCTCCGTCAAGCAGGGAACCTTTTGTAAATAGGCCTCTGGTGTGCTACACGTTGCTCTTGCAGGAATACACGAGTCCAGGCACACTGGTGTTCAAAGAATTTCAGCTTAATGCATAATGTATAGCTGTGTGCGTTTCTTAACTCACACTTCTAGGAGCCCGCTGAGTTATACTGGGATCTCCCTTGTCCAGACATGGCCTTCCCCCAGCTGTTAACCCAAGGCTTGTAGCCATGCCATGGGGTGTTTGGGGTGGCAGTGGGGGTCTCAGCTGGGGAGAGAAAGGATAAGGTTTCTTGTGTGTTGCATTCCCAGTGATAATCCCAGCTCCCCAGCAGCTGTAATTAAGTTAAGAGAAGACACAGCTACAAGCTATGCATTAAGATTAACATGCAATTTGGCTCTGAAATTCTCAGAAGGCTGGATTTTGTACATGCTGTGGTTTGATTTTTGCTCTCCTGCAGAGTCATGGGCATAAAATGCCCCTTTGGTGTTCCCCTGGAGCAATTATTGCTCCTTCCAGGTGAATGGCTTAAGTACCCAATTATAAACCTTCCCTACATACTGGTGATTTTCTTCTATGGACATTGTAGATTTTAGAGTCCACATGGGGATATGTGGGCTGCTATTGGAATTCAGGAAGGATAAGGGGGAGGGAAAACGTAGCCCCCTCCCCTCCTTCCTTCTCTTGTACTTTTACATTGTTTCATTAGAACTGAGAAAATGTCACTCAATATACCTTGCACATTTCTGGAAGGGCTGGTAATGCAGCAAGGGTTGATAATGGGCTGTATGTTTCACCATTAAACAAATGGAGTGCAATATGTTTAAAATCTGCAGGCCAATGAGCTTCAGAATCCCAGAATGCCATGACTCTGGGATACTGCATCTTGGTGTCTGTGATTTCTGACTGAGAGACTCAGGGACGGGTCATGACATGCCATTATTCTTTCTGCAGCTTTCAAACCCCCTTTTTGACACTTACTATTTTTTTCTAGGACTTCTTTGAAAGCTACATTTCTGTGGCTTCTACTGTGCCTTCTGTGCTGTGCTTGATTGGGAACTTCCTGCTAGTTAACAAGTAAGTGAGACAGCATTAGTCACTGCCATTTTCCCCCTTTCTCTGTAGCTCTGGTCACACCACTTCTTGTTCCTGCCTGCAGCTTAGCACAGCAGTGGGCCTGAACTTAAACTAAAAACACTTGATGGGCAAATGGAGAGAATCCTTTGCAGCAAAACTTCTCAAGATGACCATGTCTGCTTTCACTTTCATTTAATTCTAAACCAAGACAGGTTGTTCAGATGTGACACCTTATTGGACCAACTGCATAGTCAGGGGAGTAACAGATTTTCAAAGTTTTGCAATTTCGTTTAGGCAAGTAGACTGAAGTAGATATTCCCACAGTCTAATGTAGGAAAAGAGGAAGTCTGGTAAAGGCCCGATTCAAGAAGGGAAGAATAAAGCTGAGCAATTTGGCTCTGTGTGCTAATCAAAGAGGCAACAAAGGTGCAGTCACATAACATGGCAGCCTACTCTGCCTATAAGCAACACAGTATAGTTGTTGGTGAAACAACTCACAGTACACCTGAAAAACGATTGGGCTCATGGAAGGTTTTTTGCCAACTCCTTTCTCCTAGGGAACAGTTTAACAACTCATCTTTCCTCTTCTCCCCACTGTGGCTGCAACCCCTTCGGCGGTTGCTGTGCTTTTCCTCCATTACTCCTTTCCTGCATCCCCTGCCCCAGAATACACATTGTGTAGTCTCCAAAATGACTGACAGTGACAGCCTCTTGAAAGTCCCAAGCAGTAGCCTTGATTTGATGCCCATTTTTAACTGAACCTGAGGGCTTTTTTAACTCTTTAAAAAAGTTTTGCTGACTTTTTGGACTTGCGCATGACTCCTATTCAAAATGTGCAGCCTTGCTTTATTAATGTCCTGGTAGATGCCTCCTGTCAAAGTTCAAGAGGCACCATTCATGGACATTAACAAAACAAGGATTCAAATAGTTTAATTAGGTGCTGTGTTTCTCATTTGACAGCTGTCAAACAGAAATCTGTCAAATGAGAAACAAAACCACAAGGGATACTCGCTGGTGAAAAATGTGGCATGTAGATCACGCCCTTCACAGAAGGATCTTCTAGTCTTTCATGGATGAATATGTTCCTGTCAAAACCCCTGATTAGCACTGTCAGAAATTTGACATTTTTTGGACAATTTTCACTTGACGATTCACCATTTAACAGCAGTCAAATGAGAAGCAAAGCAACAAACTGAACTATCACTTTGTCAGTGTCTTCCATATTTGATAGAAGACATCATCCAGAACTTTGACCACACATTTTGGATAGGTAGATTTGCCCATCTGCACATTCTGAAGATCTGATCCCAACAAGAACACAAACATGAGCATTCTGGGTGGGGGTTCTTGGGCAGAAGACCCAGTCATCGAGTACCAAGGGGAAACCAGAGTAACATGGGCTAGTGTAATGTAGTGGCCTCTTACTGTTAGCAGATATGCATGAAATATGCAACAGTGAGCTCATACAGTTGACCGTTGTGACATATTCTACCTCTGTTCCTTATTGCACATCCAGATCTCATGTAAGATAAAATTGCTCCCTGCCATGTGTCAGGATGTTGTAAACACCCAAGTTACCACAGGGTTGTCATCCCAAAGTCATTTGCTTGTCTGCTTAAAAGTGGGTAGAGGGGATCATTATTTTTACCATCACTGTTGTTGTTATTATTATATAGGCTCACATATAAAGGTTTAAGGTTTTCATCATCCTTTTCTAACTTAAAAGCTAGCATTCCCCCACCTAAGCTGGTTTCCAGCTCTAAGCAGCCACTTCCTTATGGTCCCTTTCGGTCCACAGAATTCTTTGTCTTGCATGCAGACGCTTTCTGTTCTGTGTGTGTCTGGTAAATTGAGAGCAGGATTTGGCAGGGCACTGAGGAATCGTCTTCTTTTATATCCCTTGCCCCCTACAAAGAGAACTGGAGAAACAAGGCAGTATTGCTTCTTGCCTCCTGGGTGGAAATCTTTGCAGGAGAACTCCAGCAATGCAGCTCCTTGACTCCCTGCTGGGCAGGAACTATAGCTTCTGAGTTTCTGTGCCTGTGATGTTTCAAGGCATGCTGATGCTTTTCATCTTCCTATTTTTTCCCTGCTTTAGCAAGTGAAGCTATGGAAATCTCCCTGAAAATCCCAAAATGGGTACCATGTAACTGCTCCAGTTTTAAGGCTGCATCTTCAGGATGATCCTCATTTGCTTAAATGGCGCTCTCTTCTTCTAAATGCCCCAATATTCTCCATTACGGCTACTGCCCTTATTTGTAGAATTCCTAAAACTGAAAATGAGTTCTCCCTCCCACCCCCAATTATGCAGTTAGAATAGAGAAAGGAGCAGAAGGCAAAGGGAGGAGACCCAGAGAGAGCCATGCCTGTGCTTCTTATATATTCTTCAGGTTGGAAATCCATTTCACAAAACCCATTATGTGCTTAATGCATTACATTTTAAATGTAGCTTTCATTTATCTTTGGCACATTGTTGATTCTGCTGAGTGGCACATCCATAATCAATAAGTGTTTTATTATGCTAAGTTTTCTGCATCATAAATACACATGAGGCAGGCTTGCAGTTATGGAAACTCCCAAGCAAATCGGTTCCCTGTAGTTCAGCTGCCTCCAGAGGGTAACTTATGACTACCCTGTGCTCCACCTTTGTTAAGAACATCAGTGGCAGCTCAAATATGATGATGCTTTTGAAATGGGTTTTCATTTCTGCATGGGCAAAGGTGGCATTTAGGGGAAAGGGAACATGGAGGAAACAGAGCAGCACCGGAGTGTTTACGTGTGCAAGAAATGAAACATCCGCTGGTGTTCCAGTTTGCCCAGTAGAAATCCATTTTGTTTGCTTATTGTGGCTCTCTGAAAATATCTTGTTGCAAACAGGTTGCATTTGTCAGAAGTCCCTGAGCTGGGCAGGCAATATTTCTTTGTTGCATAGATAGGTGGCATAAAGTACATCTTGTCTTGAGTTCCATAGAGGAGGATGTATATCACAAAGCAACATTTAAGCCAGGGTCTTATCCCTGATGGAGAAGCCAAATATCCTCTGATTGCTAGATCCTGGCCGTTTTCTTTCTCTTTCTCCTTTTCTGCACTTTGTGCTTCAGAGGAGTGGAGCAAGACTTTGCATCTATAATAAGTAACTTTCCTGTTCCGGCAGCTAATTATTGTATGGTGTGATAAGTATGTGGCTGCTTTTCCCCAGTCTGCCGTATTCCCCAACCAGATACCATTCCTGTTGCTGCCTGTTGCTGCTGTGATTTCTTCTCGAAATGGGCATTTCCAGCTTGACTGAATTTCAAGATTGAAATTGAATCACTTGATGAAAGAAATAGAATCTGTGCACTTGACATCTAACATAACATAAACTATTTGGGTTGCTGTTGATCTTTCTCTGAACCTGCACCCGTTTTGTCTCCTATTCTATATTTGTGATTCTTTGTTCCCTAAAGCATCGGTACTGCATATCACATGTGTTGGTTCCATATCTCTAGCTACACAGCTTCTGGAAAGACACCCAAGTCTGTTGCTTCAGCATAATTTTGTAAGAAACACAGGCATACTTGGGATCTTGTAGGCAATGCTGTAGTAAGGCCTTGTGAAAACCTAGGAGAAAATGTCATATTCCCCTTCCACCTCTTTTCTTTTATTTTTGGTAATTCAGACATAGTAAAGCTATGTAAAATCAGACTTGGAATGAGGAAGAGGCAAATTTTGCCCACCTTTATGAAGCAGCCTGGAAGTAAGGAAGCATCAGTTCATTAGAAAGATGAGCTAACTTCCTGTACGCCAGCCACATTCCAGTGCTGTAATAATTAGGTGTTTCATAATTAAAATAATAAAAGTCAATGCCTGTGTGTAATATTCCGTCTTCTATGGCCTTGTTCAAGAGACTTTACTTGTTCAAGCGAAAGACTAGTAGACATTAGGTATGACTGCTTGTCTGTCTTTCCCATGATGAAGATCTTAAGAGCTGTACATTTAGCACAGTAGATTCTTAAACTGGGAGAGGTTAGAGGAAACCTTCTCTCAAGGCCCAGCCACTGTGTAACTCTAGGGGTCTGCAGGCTTTCTCATTTTCATCTTGCCTCTGGAGTCAGAACAGTTCCTCATCCAAGTCTATGGAAGTCCTTCCCTGGGAGCCACCTTTGCAAGTAAAAAAAGAGGCCACAAAGGGAAGGGCCTTGTCAGCTATGGCGCCCCAATTGTGGAACCAGCTCCCCAGGGAGATATACCTGGCACCAACTATATATTTATTTCAGTGCCAAGTCAAAGCCTTTTTATTCTCCTGTTATTTTAATTGTTAATATGAATATTCAGTTTTACATTGGTTTTACGTATATTGTTATTGGTACATGTGGATGAGTTGTTACATTATTGTACTGTATTTATGTTATTTTAATCATAGTTTATGTTGCCTGAATTTTGTTGCTTGGTCAGAAGTTCTGTGACAGATACATTTGACATCAAATTGACTGTTGATATTGTCCGTTGTTTGATATTGTTTTACTTGGCTTTATATTGACTGTTGATATTGTTTTACTTGGCTTTATTGTACATCATTCTGAGAACCCTGTTGCTAAATGAATGGTATACAAAAGCTTAAACAAACAAATAAGTCTGTGCCCTTTTGTGTTGTGCCAATTGTGCCACTCCTGCACAGTAACACTCCATTTCAGTCAAGATTACAAGGACTCAAAAGAATGAGGGACTCTAGTTTGGAAATGACTTGCCAGCCATTACATTTCTTCTCCAGGGTGTCTGTCAACGTGCGCATTCTCTCCTCCTTGGCTATCATGTTGGCTGTCTTCCTGGTGATCACAGTGCTGGTGAAAGTGGACACCTCTGCCTGGACGTCCTGGTTTTTCATTATCACGATGGCTTGCGTGGTTGTCATCAGCGGTGCTGCCACCATCTTCAGCAGTAGTGCCTTTGGCCTGTCTGGATGTTTTCCTCTGCGGAATTCACAAGCATTGATTTCAGGTTAGGACTCCCTGTGATGCCTATACTGGGGACCGTGGGGTTTTCCAGCTGCTGGTTCCTTTTCATTTTGTTTGTGCTCCCTTTTGATGTGAGCTTTTAGGTGCACGGAATCATATGACAATGAATTAGCTCTCAGTGATGTTAGCACAAGCTGACTTTTAAAACAAAGAACCGCAGAGAGCTCTAAAGAGGAAGTTTGAAAGAAAACTCAGCAAATTAAATCAACTGACTTTACAGTTTATGTAGATTACCCCCTTGTTGGTTTTTATTCTCCTTAGAAGTCTCATCTTGTGGCATCTTTGTTGAGGAACCAGAGATTTTATTTATATATATTTAATCTGCATTCAGGTCCATGTTTGTTTATATCTTAGAAAAAATATGAAACTTTGCATTGTCTCATTTTATATTCAGCATTAACATTCATTTCCATAACTGATGAGCTCCAAGTTTCGCAGCTATGAATGATGAGGCCCCTCGAGGTTTAGGAAGCGTCATTGGAAATGTTATTTGAGATAGAAGTAAGGCAGGGTAAAGAGAGGGAGGTGAAAATCAATACAGAGGTTTCAGTCTTTCATTTCTTGTCCACAGCAAAGAACATGGTTGGGGCTGGACCCATCATGGAGGTTTTCACTACTGCTCCTCATAGAAGCCTTTTAACTTTTACACAAAATGGGACCCTATTTTTTTACTTTGTGGGCTGATACACCATAAGTATGGTGTGATATAAGTCACACCGTATAGCATAAACCTTTTCACCATGTCCTCACCAATAACTACCCGAGTAGAGCTGAGGTGGGGGTAGCAGCATCCAGACCTGTCAGACAGTGACTTTGTTCATATGACGTGCTCATGGGTTCTTGAACCCACAGTGAGCCAGAGCATGTGTGAGCGCCTTTACGAATATGCAGTCCTCAGTGGCAGCATGTTGTCTGAACTCGGTCCTTGAGGCACTACTTCAGTGTTAAACAACCATCACATAACCCTTGGATTTTTGTAGGGTTATGTAAGGGATAGCCCTTGAATAAACCCGAGAGACTGGGTGTGGATGATACACAAATGCCCAGCATCAGTTGTGGCTCATTGTAGGTTAAATAACTTGTGGTGAGCCTAGCATGTCATGCAGACCAGATAGATCAGTGGAACCAACACCTTGGGGTGGGGTGGGGGGTTGGGTCTCTGTTGTTGCAGAGATCCCAAGCAATAACTGGACAGGTATCTGTCAGGGTTGCTTTAAACTGGCTGGACTCTGTGACCTCAGTGCGCCCATTCAACTCGTACTTCTGTGAAGGCTTTGCCCATACGACTACTGAAATGTTATTTGCAAGAAATGGTGCAAAGGCTTCTGCCTATACATTTTGTTCTGTTTCCCAACATAGCACTTAAGATTAAACCTCCTGTAGCCTGGGGTGCTCTTTCGGCATGATAGACAAGAGTGTCATTTCTTTGGTTGTTGCTTTCTTAAAAAAAAGATCATATGAAGTCATACATAAATGGTTGAAATTCTCACGATTTCAATGAGAGTCTGAAGGCTGTCTAACCACCCACCTGGGATACAGCCAGCAAGATGAATGATACCCTTCATTCCAAAGAATGGCTTCCCCAATCTGCCACAAAAGTCACTTTTGAAATTACTACAGCTCTCAAAAGGAACCTGCCATATGGCTGAGCCAGCTGTCCAGGTGATGAGCCCCTCCTTGCTTCTGAATCACTAATTTCCCCTACACCAATCTTTCCCAGCCTGGTACACCCCACATGTTTTGGATTACAGCTCCCAACATTCTTGATCATTGGCCATGTTGCTGCAGCTGATGGGAGAGGAAGTCTAAAATACCTGGAGAGCTCCAGCTGAGGAAGCATTCTCTACAAGACACTTCTTGTTAATCCGATAATTCAAAACTAATGTTGCTGTTATTGCTCAAATACAGAAATTAGCAACTTTTTGTGGTTTGGTCAGTAACTGAAAGCTATCCCTGCTCAAGCCAGGGCATGTTGCAACAGGACCCCCCATGTGCTTAAACAGAGCGGGGATGGGCCAAACGCACATGCACAACGTAAGAGGAGCGAGGAAGAGTAAATGTCAGAAGGCAAATAGAATCTGTGCAGATCAGACCAAGGCAGTAGAAATACAGCTGGAACGTCAGTCTCTGGTCCCTTTGGGTCCCTTTGCCTGACCCAGCATTTGCCTGACCCAGCCTGGGTCCCTTTGCCTGACCCAGCATTTGCTGGGGCTTATTTCACCGTTCGTTGACTTATGTTCTCTTTCCCCCGCTTCCCCAACCCCCATTCTTCCTTTTCATGCAGGACAGGCCATGGGAGGAACAGTGAGTGCTGTGGCATCAGTGGTGGATCTGGCAGCAGCATCTGAAGTTACAGACAGTGCTCTGGCCTACTTTCTGACCGTGGACATCTTCATTATTCTGTGCATTGGGATGTACTTGATCCTTCCCAAGCTGGAGTATGCCAGGTAAACCCTGCTAGACCAGGAGGTCAACGCTCTGCAGGTGGTTTCGCTCCAAAATATCTTGCTCAGGATGCTGTGAGCCTTTCCATGGAGGTCGCCTACCTGGGGAAAAATATATAGAGTGCATCTCTGCTTAGAGCTTTGTGGCTCTTGATTCTCCATTTGTTCTCTTCACCCTGAGCTTCTTGTTTTGACCGAAAGCCCAGACAGGAACTGGGGATTTACTGCAATACGTGTGCTCTGTGGTGTGGTGTCAGAAATCCTCCAGATAGAATGGTCCTCTAACCCTAAACACCGAAGCCAGCAAGCTAACTGAGCCCTGTGGCAGAGTTTGCTTGGGATCCAATATTCACACTGTTGTTGTGATCCTTCCTGGAGTCAATGGGGCTTTGTTTGCAATTTGACTTGGCTCATAGTTCTTCCACAAGTGACCCAGGCCTTTCCTAGCATGTTTTCTGCTGTAAGTCAAATTGGAAATAATGAGCTTGTGAGCCATCACCCAAGAATCAGGTGGCGACACTAGCCTTAGGGGAAGTCTCCTGTATTACCGGTTGTCTAGCAGGGAGCATCCTGTGCAATAGACCCTTCTCTGGCTGTGACAAAACTGCTTTTGACTGTTTCAGCTCTGCTCCTCAGCTAAATGGTAAGGCACAGTGCAGGGTCACCTTAAGAGGCAGGGTAGCAGTTAAGAGGCTGAGCTAGGAGGTTCGGAGTTCAGAGGCTGCCTCCCAACATACAAGCTAAACTTGAGTTTGTCAAAGTTCCCCAAAGCTGTCAAACTCTGAGGCTTGTTCCATCTGGTGTATGTATCAGAGTGAAATCTATCTTTTCCCCTTTCACATGAAAATGTGTGTGTATTTTCCCAAATACGCACATCAGTTGTGTGTATCATTGAAATGTTTGCATTCTTCACCCATTGATTAAAAAGTGTGCACATTTTTCAGGGCTGTGCATTTCCAAATGTATGCATGCTGTCAAACGCTTTCTTTGTAGGTGTGGGGGGGGGGGGGGATCCATGGATTGCAATGTAGCCTGCGAAATGTATGGACTTGAGCCATAGATTATGTTTGAGGCCATGTGTCATCTAGGAAATGGGTAACTCTTGATCGAATGTGAAGCGCACAGAATTTCCAGTACGTCCTTGCCTTCCAGATGTGAGCTGTCTAGATAGCCTGCCAAGCTACTATCTCTGAGTTCTCCTGGAAACCTGTAACATAGGAATAATAAGACAGACATTCCTTTAAAGTACTATTCTGGAGATTACTGAAATTACATGAGATGTCAGTCAAAAATTCAAAAGCTCTAAATAATCGCAAAATACGAAGTGTTTTCATATTGATTGATTGATTGATTGATTTATATCCTGCCTTTTTCCTACAAAGGGCTCAAGGCAGCTTACATCTCCTCCTCCATCTACATATGGCATTAGCTGTTGTGTGAAACTGCCAACTACTTCATCTGGTGTACTTTTTAAGAAGACTTGTACATGAAACCTTAGGTCCCACTGAGCAAAGGAGCCTTGAGCATGCTTGGTTTGCATTTTTGGCCTATATAGCTAGCAAAGGGCAACTTCTTTTCTGTTCTCATGCGACAAAGAAGTACAGGGGGCAGAAAGACAACAGCAGGGCCTGTTCCAGCTTTGCTGTCCATCTATCATGCACAGTCTTGGAGGGAAAGTTCTTGATGACTTAATGTTTTGTGATTTTTATAAATGGATTTTCACTGATGCTACCCATAAACTATCTAGAAGAATTTATATCCTGTAACATGGGATAAAAATAATTGTAATTAAAAATGTATTAGGACAATAAACCTCTTATTCTGGTGCAACAATTAATCAGGCAAGAGAGAAACTACTACTGCTTCAAATATATATTGTCACCATTTGCAAAGAGTAGTTGAAACAAATAATAGTATTGGAAAAGCATTTAGGCATTAGAAATTATGCTTTAAGAACAGAGCCCCACTAGAAATGAGTACATTGCACCTCTCTCGCTGAAATCAGGTGTAAAATACATTGAACTCTTCCTTTGAAATCAATGAAACATAATAGTGTTTAACTTTGGTTAGATTGTGCCATGCTTTAAAAAGAATTATTAAATATGTGTTTCAATGTTATAGATGATTGCTGTTTTGCATAGAGAATTAGCACAGGGAAATTGTACTACATAAAGCATCCTTAAGAGATAGCCATGAAACTGACAATATCAAATAATGATCTGAAGAGCTGTTTGTAATGCCATCCTTTGCATGTTTGGAATTGAATAAATCCTATTACTCCCAGCATTCTCTAGCTAGCATGGCTGGGTGAGGAATGCTGGGAATTGTAAGATTTCCTTCTGTCTAAACATGGAGAGGATTATGTCCTATAGTCTTTTTCTCAAGATAAAACATAGAAGACCTTTATGTATGAGAGTAAGAATTGTGTATGAAACTTACTTAAAAGTGGCTGCTTATTAAGTTAGTCCACAGTGTCCTGTACAATCAAAGTTTTGTACATAGAATTCCTGAAGATTAAGCTGCATAGAAAGCATTTAACAGTTCACTTTTAAAGCAATGCATGGGATTATGATTGTGGTCTCTTGTTTTGGTCCTAACTGTATCATATCAGATTATTCATTGTAGAACTATGGATGATAGTCATAGAGTGCTGTCTTTATCTTACGGGTTTAGCAATCGTACAAATACCAGTATTTGAAGGTAATAATCAAGCTTCAGTTTTTAAGACCTCAGAAGGATTTCACTCACGCAGTATAAACTCTTAGAGCAAGCAAAGACAAAGGTTCATCTTAAAAGGCATGTGCTCTTTTCTCTCACCATGCGCACAGCGCTAACATACGCTGTACCATAGGATTGCCGCCTGTGTGCACAATGGTTTGTGACATTTTTCTCTGTCAAAAAGAGATGGCTAAAGGGGATTGACCCATCTTGCTCACTGACCACCACAGAGCCTCTGTGTAGATCATCTCTTCAAGCTCGTGGTGGAGCAAATAGATAGGTGTATGCTCTCTCAGTATTTGAATGGCCCTGCCAGTGCAAAACTATGCCTGCTGTGGGCTGGGTCTTAAGAGACCAGTTTCCTGTTCTCTAAAGTGGTTGACAGAAGTGTGCTTTTTCCACAACAAAGTGCACAGTCTTGCAGTTATGACCAGCTCATGCAACCAAAAGAGTGATCTACATTTATTTTAGTCATAACGCTTTTATAAATCAGAAGCTTCTCCAGCAGTCTGAAAATGCAATTGTCTTTGAATGTGGTTTTGTCATATTGCATTATGAAAAATATTGTCACTATTTACCTCTTCTGGGTTCCGCAAGAATGTTCTGTTTTTGTCTGCCCACCCTCACCCCAAGTAGGGCGAGCCTCTTCCTGACTTGACAGTATCTTAAAAGCCTTTGGACCCATTCCTGTTTTGTGGGCTTAGGACAGGTTCTCTCCTCATTGTCTTAATCTTTAGACATGGACAGATCTATGAAGTAGGACATCATGGAAAGTGATTCATGTGTGTAAGTGTACCGTTCCTCCCACATGCATTGATCCTCTTTTCTCTTGCTGATGGCATTTTTGCTGATATATGTTGGGTGTCGAATGAACTCTTTGCACTTTTCGTTGGTACATTGCCAAAGTGCAGCCAACACAAAGAAAGGTGATGGATGAGGTTGCCTTACGCACATTCTCAGCACTGGTCTTACAAGTATCACTCTAGAGTCGCAGGCAGAGGTTCCTTGTGCTCCCCAAGGTCCTTCACCTGGTGCCAAGGATTAAACCTGGAACCATACCTGTGCAACACAAATGCAACACATGCCTTTGGCGACTGAACCAAGCACCTGCGTTGCGAGCCGAGTTTCTCCTTTCCAGCAGTAACAGTCTCACCAGCACTTCTTTGCCAAACGTCTCTATTTCATACACTAATCCCTGAGCATACACAAAGCGAAATGTTGAACCCTCTGCGGTATTCTTCACCCAAAGCTATCCTTATGAATCCTGCATCTGCCCCTGTGGGGAGAAGTGCTGTAGAGATTGGGCCACCCTACAACTGTGACCATGGACTATCAGGCCCACCTCCTTAGGATGCTGGAGTTCCCCATCCAATAAACTTCCCAATCCCTAAATCTTCTGGCTCAAGATTATGTTGTTCTTCCTCATTCCCACGGGCAGGTTGATTGGGCCTCTCAGCCGCACTGGTGCTAATCTCTCCCATAGCAGGCACAGGCAGGTACCCAGGGCTTTGGACCACAGCTGGAACTGGGTCCATTTCAAGCATCATCTCATTTTCAGAGTCTGAGCAGGTCTGCCAGGATAGGACGGCTCCCCTGCACACATCTTATTCTTGGACTCTGAGCTGTCGGTCCAGCCAAAACCTGCCCCTGAAGTTTGCCAGAACATGCATGCAAGACACCCTGGCATTGTTGCCAACTTTGTCAGCTTTTAATGAGATATTGTGGCTCCACTTGGCAATAACCTTTTTCATTTTGCTTTTTCTTTGTTTGGACTGATAGTGCTTCTTTCTGCCCTCTCTTTTTCCAGGTATTATATTAGAAGGCAAAAGTGCAGCACCTTGCCACCATGTGCCTCTCCTAGTGATTGCGCAGAGGAGGCGGAGTCAAAAACAGGCAATGCCAGCCAATTTCCACCAAACAGAAACCAAATAGGCAGCATCCCTCCCGTGTGGTCTATCCTGAAGAAGACCGGTATGTTGGGTTTCTGCGTCTTCTATGTCTACTTCATCTCTATCATCATTTTCCCAGCAGTCTCATCCAGCATAGAGTCTGTCAACAAGATTTCAGGGAGTTTGTGGACAGATAAGTACTTCACACCCCTCACTAGTTTCCTCCTGTACAATTTTGCTGACTGGTGTGGACGGCAGATTACCGCCTGGATAAAGGTCCCTGGACCAAAAAGCAAGTTGCTGCCTGCTATGGTGGCCCTAAGAACTTTCTTCATACCAGTATTCATGCTTTGCAACTTTCAGCCTCGAACACACATCTCAAGAGTGGTCTTTGCTCAGGATTTCTACCCAATGGTCTTCACGGTACTCTTGGGATTCAGCAATGGGTACCTGAGTACTTTATCCATTATCTATGGCCCCAAAGTCACTCCGAAGGACCAATCAGAGGCAGCAGGAGTACTGATGATGATGTTCCTCCAATTTGGATTGGCTTTGGGAGCAGGCTTCTCTGTTCTTGCTGTCCATCTCATCTAGAAGAAAGAGATGGGGCCTTCTAGGCTTTTCATTGGACTTCATAGATACCAGGAAATGTACAAAATGGCAGGGCAAAAATGTGCCAAAAAACCACCTATAGGGACCAAATTACAAGCTGGTGATGCATTTTTCATGTTTTCTCCTTTATCTGGGCTGCGGGTTTCTATTTTTGATCATGTGTCCCGGGGTAATGTGGTGGTCCATGCGCATATCTTCCCTTGCTGGGTTTGTAGCCAAGGGAAATATGTATGTCTTGCTAAGGACAATGACAAATCCCGGATTCTGTTTTATTATTGTAATTACTCTTTTAGTTGTTAAAATGATTGTAATGGTTTTACAACAGGGATAGGCAATGCAAAGCCCATAGGCAGTAGTAAACCCCCTGGACACCTTTCTTGGCACCCACAGAAGTACCTGCCCCCCCACTACTTTTCTCTCTTTTTCTTAAATTAACGAATGGTCTTCGTGAAAAATGGGATTGGTTCAAATTAAAGTGAGAACCTCCAGTTGCTGCCATCTGCATTTCCCATGAATGTCTCTAAGCCATGCATGGGGACCAGAACCCTTTAAAATGAAGGTGGCAGGTGCTTATAGGCTGATACTTTCCTGTTGCCAGGAAAAGGAGGGGGAGACTGCCACTTCTCTCTGGGAAGCTGGAGCAGGTAGTTAAAGGTGCTGTCATGAATCGTGCTGCTTCTTCCAAGCAATTATTTCTTTGCTAATAATCTTTACTGTTATGTGCAAGTCCCTGAGAAGTCCTTGAGAAAATGAAATGTTTTGCCCTTTCTGACATGTATTCGCCAAAACTCTCTTTATGAACCCTTCTGCATCTCTCCCTCGAGGGAGGAGCACTGTGAAAGCAGGCACACCTCCGCTCTGCCGACTGTGTACCTATTTGGACTTCTCTTCGATGATGATGTCCTGTGATGAGGTTCGCATGATCCCAGGAGAAAAACCATGGTGGCTTCTGTGCCCTACCTCCCCCTCGCCTGCACATGTATTGCATGATTTGCCTAATTACCCTTGCAGTAGTTCCCCATCAGAGAAACTACCCATGTCAGTATCGCCCGCCTCAGGAGGATCCAGTGCCTCTCCATTTCCACTGCCAAGGAGACTGGTCCCTTTGTCTGCCCTTGTGCGAATCTCCCCCAAATCTCTTTCCTGCAGAATCTCAAGACCTTGGACTGCAGCTGCGGTTTGAACCATTTCAAAAACAGTCCCAACTTCAGAGCATGAGTTGTCAGTTTCACCAGGATGAGCAGGCTCCCTCCCAGCATGCCCCCGAGAACTGACGGAATGTGCACACAGGACAGGCAGTTAAATGAAACAGTGGGGCCGGGGAGGGGGCTTGGAAGGCAGCAGCATGTCAGCTTGTCGGGAAACAGAGAGGGAGAGCAAGAGGAAGTCAGCTGTCATTGGAGGAGCCAGTGAAGAGCTACCCGAATGGATGAGGACTGCATGTATGTGAGAAAGAGGTGAAAGAAAGGGATTTTATAAGCATCTTGAAAAACAGTAACTGTGAGTTTCTGTATGTTTGCAGAGAGAAGAATGGCAGGACATGACAGTATGCAGGATGGATGGATCCTGATGGATCCTGGATCCTGAATGCTTGCAGGGGTGGCAGGGAAGAAAGGGTTTGCCTTCTGTGAAATAGATTTCTGTTGGTGCGGAAACCGTGCAGCCCAGAGGAGTTGTGTTAGTATGTTGGGGCTCAGCCCCTTCTCTGCCTTGCAGTCAACCTTTTGGGCTACTTGCTTGTCAATACACTAGTGACAAGTCATGTTTCTCATGACAGCCATGTTGTGGTGGTGCCCAGGAGTTTCTCAAATTGTCAAATTGGATCCAAAGAGGTTGTATGTGCCTTTATTTTCTCTTTATTTTTAGAACTTGTTTGCTCAACCCTTGCCCTTCATGGATACTCATCAAAGCCAAGGATGGGGTGTATACCTGGGTCCAGGAGGGAGTTAACACCTCTCTGAGGGAGGGTTGGGACCCCGCCCCCTTGAAGGAGGTGGTGATCAGGCCCATCCTGAAGAGGTGAACCTGGACCCAGAGATGGCCTTCAATAATAGACCGGTGGCTAACATCCCATTCTTGGGCGTGGTGCTCAAGCAGGCGGTGGCGGGACAACTCCAAGTTCTCTTGGAGGAAACTGACCATCTGGATCCATTTCAGTCTGGTTTCAGGCCTGGTTATGGGATGGAGACTGCCTTGGTTGCCCTGTATGAGCACCTGTGCGGGGAGAGGGACAGGGGGAGTGTGTCCCTGTTGGTTCTCCTGGACCTCTCAGTGGCTTTCAATACCATTGACCATGGTAGCCTTCTGGATAGGCTGGCCAGGTTGGGAGTTAGAGGCACCGCTTTGCAGTGGTTCCACTCCTACTTGGCTGGCTGATTCCAGAAGGTGGTGCCAGGGGATTGTGGCTCTGCACCATGGCAGAGCCATGGGGACCAGTAGGTATTCACATATAATGCCGGTTCTCTACCATCTACACTGGCTGCCAGTTGAAGTCTGTGTCCAATTTAAGGTGCTGGTGATGACCTATAAAGCCCTAAAAGGCTTAGGACCTGGTTCCCTGAAGAAGTATCTCCTTCCATATATGCCTGCCCACTCCTTAAGATCTGGATCAGAGGTCCTTCTCCGGGAGCCCTCCTTGAAGGAGATTAGGAGGGTGGTTACCTAGAGAGGGACTGTGAAATACCCTCCCCAGAGAGGTTACCCTGGCCCCATTGCTGTATTCTTTTTGGTGCCAGGCTAAAACCCTTTTTATTTTCCCAATATTTTAAGGTTTGACTGTTTTTTAAAGCAGTTTTATTGTCAGAATTTAATTAGGATGCTGTGTTGTATTTTGTGTTTTATTTTATTTTTTGCCTTACTGTTAAACCTTCCTGAGACTTTGTTAAGGGACAGTCTTAAAAGGTTTTAAACAAACAACAAAACAAGGTACTGCTGTTAAATTCATCCTCCCTAAACAGAAGTTAAAACAGATAAGGCAAATAGATTCCAGTTGAGAAGAATGATCAGCAGCTATTTTTAAAAAGGGAGATTGTGGAACAAGGCTGAGTAAAACAAGGGTGTCATTAAGCAATAAGAATCTAATACATATTTCTAGCAAGTGCCTATGGTGACTTATAAGGCTGTATGCCAAGGAACCTGAGTTAACCGGAATCTGAAAATGCAAGGACAATTTCCCTCCTGGTATTAGAGGAAGGTACAGGAAGAACAGAGGGTTTGTCATGCCTCTCTGCATTTGTTCAGGTATTTGTAGCCCTGGTTTTTCATTCCTCAGTGCCCTTAGGCCATTTTGCATTGACTCTCAGTACCGTGTTTTGAAATGCAACCAGAACACAACTGGGAACTGCTTCAAATCACTCCTCATGGAAAGAGAATCTCCTGTTTATTTTCAAGCACTGGCAAAAAGCAAACAGCAGTCCCTCATGGTAGATAGATGGAGGAATTTGGTTCAGAATGCCATTGCAGTTGAAGTTGGAGACGGGTTGGTGGTGACGTTATAACTAGAGGAATACATAGTGAAGGTAACAATTGCATGGAAAGATGAAAAGCCTCCTTTGTGAAATACGTGTAGGGGCAGAGAACTCAGAGAGGAGAAATGGCATGTGGGAGCGCATGACCAGGTTTGCATGATCCCAGGAGAAAAACCAGGGGGCTTCTGTGCCCTCCCTCCCCCTCCCCCTTGGAGCAGCAGCTTCCCATGTCAGCCATACCACAGCTGTTCCAGAACCCTGCAGCAAGCCACCAAATGTGCCTGCTTAGCCTCACCAGGCATAGGCATAGGTTGTCCTGACTTGCACGCCTGGTGCCATATGGGGTGCTTAACGTACCCTCCAGAACCTGCAACTTTCTGCTGCTGGGTAGATAATGAACAAGTTGCACCCAGCAAGAGTAACTAGGGAAAGTGACCAGCATGTGCGGGGGTGCTTCAGAAGCCACCTGTCTTAGTGACCATCATGGCAGGTGAACTGGGCTACTGTCTGCACCACCACCAAGCTGTGTGGTTTGGTTTATTTGCATCAAGTCCCCATCACCAAGGGTTCTGAAACAAGAAGAAAGCCTAGTGTGGGAAAGAAAAGAGCCCGTGAGGTAGTTGCACGGGAGAGTTGGTGAGTGGGTGGCGCTGAACCCGTCCCTCCCATTCACTAGTTCTCTCTGGCAAGTGCCTACTCCTTCAACTGCAATATTTCACTGAACATAGATTTGAAAGTATACACTGGTCCAGCCTTAGTAAGTCTAACCTCAGTATATAAACATGTCTGCCTGTATGGCCAGTCGATTCCATAAGTCTTGAAAATGAAATGTCATAAAATCAATGCAAGGGCTTTAGGAGAACAGTTGAAAAGGGGGGAGAGCAAAGCATGGGTTGCACCTTTTGAGATACAGCCTCTATTGTGCCAAAGAGAATGTGGCAGAGGAACAACATAGTGACTAACGGTGTGACCTCATACACTCCATGCCTCTTGTTCCTCATGG